AAATTTATTCTACTTCAACTAGCTTGTAATTTTTGATATAACAGTATTCAGTGATGATAAGTTTCTGGTCAGCTCATAAATTATGTGAATGATACTTTGAATTTTACATGCGAAAAATTTGGAGTAACTTTATACACAACACAAATTGAACAAGGTTTCGACTTATTTTTGTAAAAATATTCATGCAACTTTAGTAATCAATCTATATTCGAATTCTTCAACATCTAGTTGGAAGGAAACAAACTTTGTCGAAATGGAGTTATGAAGAGTATGCGGTTGTATTTTATCACTTAATCATTCATTTCTCATGTAAAATATCTTAGAGTTCACCAAAGGCAGCTTAGTGTGTAAGTATCCCAACTAAAGTTCATAATAATAATATTTTTCATAATAATTTATTATCATTATAAGTATTAATAATACTAATATATATTTATGCGATTTTATTCGTAAGCAATAATGAATATTTCTATATGTAATTTGATGTATGTAACGATAAATTGAAAAATGATAAATATTTTGAGATCATGCAACAAAAAACAATTATTTAGTGAAATTGAAACTTTTTTAGAAAGTTCAGCGAAAAGTAGAAATGGGATGAACGATTAAGCATTAGTGAATTTGCGTGTGAAGATGATGAAAATATCAAAATGAGGAAAACATTTAGTAATCATAACATATAATACTAGATATAACAATCAAACAGCTGAATCACGTAAATTCAAGTTAAGACTATTTCGGAAATTTTCTCGCGCATCATTCTTTGGCATATAAATTTCTCGATAAAGAAGCAATTCAATTTCGTCTACTTGGAGCAAAGGAAGAGCTAAATCACAGTCCAAATATTGTAGAGATGTGTCATTAATCTAAATTGTGAATCATAATTAATTTTTATTGAAGCAATCTTTGAAAAAATAACTATTATTAGGCATAAAAAACGTTTAAAATTAATCACAATGTGGTGAATGAATTTTGAAACAAATTTTTTTTTGTTGAGCAAATTATCATTATTCAAAGAGGGTTTTGATATTCTATATAGTCAATGTAATTGCTCGAATATTTTAGAAATCTGGCCATAAATTTTCAAAAACATTCAATAAAAAGTTTAAAATGAGAAAATATGTGTCTTAAAAATTGACTTGTAAAATTTTATCATATGGCGAAATAAGCCCACACTGATCTGCTGGACCTCCGGGTAAAATTTCATTTATAAATACTCCAGCATTATCACCGATGCCATCTGAAACACTGAATCCAAAACTGTTCGTGCGTGGATCCTAAAAATTTACAAAATTAGTCAAATAAATTAATATTGTGGGAAAAAGTGTTATGTTATTTCTTACTTCTGTTCTAGATTATTTAATATGCAAAAATGAGCTTTTTTGTTTGACTGGCAGTTAATTGAATCTTTCCAAAAAATAAAATCATAAATATGAATGGCGCTAAAAAGCATATATTCTTCAGCCAATAAGTTGTTGTAAAATAGCCAGTTACTTCACTATAATCTTTTTTTTCAAGACTAAGAAGATAAGTACTAAGAAATATACTTTGCGTAATCGTACGCGATGAGTTTTACCACTAGTGGCAGGTGCAAATGTTTTGCTACTAAGTTCATGAAGTACGAGTGTTGTAGGTGGAGGTGATGATTTAACGGTTTTTGGCTATAAAAGAAAAAACAAGTCAGTATGTTTTAGAGGATTTTTTGTAAATTATTCTTGTTTAGAAATAATTTGCAAACCTATAAACTGCTTACAGAATAAATTTAAAACTTGTATTTACAAAAGTAATGTCCTCTTCAGTAAAGCATTTTCAAATATTCTTATTAATTAATATGAGAAAAAGACATTTTCACTTTTAAAAATCAGTTTCATATGATAAAAATGAAAAAGTCGCATAATTAAAAAGTAATAGAATAGATAAAGAATCTGTATGCAGTTGACAATAGAAAAAAAATTACCGTTGATAAATCATGCACTGAATAAGGAGAAATATCACACAAATTATTAACGTTAAATGGCTCGGATAAAACAGGCAGTGTATGAGGAGGTTCATTGACACCGTAACGAGATGGTTTCTGAGGTGCCATATGATATGGTATATCACCAAGTGAAGTGCTCGTTTGGGAATCATTTGAGAGGCTTAATGAATCCATTCGATCAAAACTTGAATAATTACTAGCTGGAAAAAAAAAAGGCTTGTAATCATCGTTTGTAAAATAAAACCTTAAAATTAGAGTTAGTAAACTAATACGCAATTAAATCTCGAATTTTCAAATATAAATTTACACTATTATTAGCTATTAAATAAATATACAGTTTTTATGGCTTAAAAAAGTCTGTTCTTGAAATCTGCTGGTGATTAAAAAGTTGGTATGAAGGAGTGAATTTATTAAAAGCTCACGCTCAATTCCGAATTTCGAAAATTTTAGATTTGTGCAAGGTGATACTACAGAAGCACTGGTATTACCAACAGCAGCACTTGATGAATTAAAAGAATATGGCTGTCTTCTATATATATTTCCATATGGTAATCTTAAATCAGAACATTGGGCAATTGAAGGCTCGTGGTATCTACAATTAGTAGAATTAATAAACTTATATTTAAATCTAGCATATAATTTTAAAAAATTTTGCATTTACTTGCACAGTGCAATATTTCACAAAATTTCAATATAAGTGCTCGTTATTTCAGCAACAAATAGTGAGATACAATCACCTAAATTGAAAATGAGAAAATATGTCAATTATAGTTTTAAAAATGTAAGTAATTATTATTTCAAAAAGATGTACTCATCTATTAGTTACTAAATTACATTGTATGAAATTTAGTTGCAGATTCAAACTAAATAAAAAATCAGTTTATTGTGCTTTAATATTCAGTTATTAATGTTAACAATAATATCAGTTTGATCGATAATTGTTTAAGTATGGAAGCAATAGTAGATAAAACATAAATCGATTCTTCAAAGAATACTGATATTTTCACTTTCTGCACTTTGTGCTGTGAATCAGTAAGCAAAATTTGTTTAAGTGCCTAATTTGCATATTCGTTTTGCCTGTTTGTTTGACTGATAAAAGTGGAAGTTTTTACAATCTTTACTTCTGGAAATAATGCTTGCAAGGAATTGTGATAGAAAACGTAAATTCAAGCATTATAATTCTTCGCAATAATATGTGACATGAAGCTAATCATATTTTGATTATAATAATCTGTAATACATTTGTATGAAAAGAAGACCTCGTCATCAAAGGACTACCCTGAGTATATGCTGGACTTAAATTACAACCACTTGTGCACTGTTCTAATTTCCGAAGCATAGCTGCTTCTCCAACAGTTTCTAACGCTTCCAGCACTTCAATCCTGAAGCAGAATGCTATCATTATTGCAGTATTTTTGATCCTTCAAATAATATGCATCGAAAAATTTTTCAGCAAATAATGCACTAAAAGTGATTTATTTTTTATTAGTGAAATGAATTTATTATAAAAAATAAAATTATTACTTCATATTACTTTTAAATAAGAAAAAAATGTAGCAAATAATGATATTTTTAATTTGTTTAGGTGAAACTGTATTTAAACAATGACTGTTTCAAATGTAAAGAAAATAAAGCAAACCAATTTGATGGTTCCAAATCTTCATTCTTCTGACAATTACAGCGCTGTGAAGATGATTTCCTATTATTTAAATACGTACTGTTTTCCCATAGTCCTTGATCTGACCAAGAAATTGCACCTGACAAATCTTTCTTGGATATTAAAAATAGCCAAGTTTGCATTTACTTATCATTTTGCGAATGATTTTTGATATAATACTCATTGATACATTACTTAAAATTTAAGATCAAAATATTACCAGATTTTTGTTTCATTTCAATATTTGATAGACCAAATACATGTGAATGTGCACTGCCACTTGGATGATGAGCAATTTTCTCGTAATCATTTTGCTCATCTTTTGCAAATATTATTTTATATTATACTCTTTTACGATATACTACCATATATTATTTGATAGACATAACTCAATTCGAAAATTTTGAAATCAAATTACAAAAAATATGCATAAAACAAGGCATAATACAGAACTTACTTGGTCATAAATGCTAGAAAACTGACTTTTTCATGCTTACAGTATCAAAAGAATTAATTTTATAATTGTGTCAATATGGAACAATTTATGTAAGTGAAACAAGAAGCTTACTACTAAATATAGAGAATATTAGTTAGGATTATTTTGTTTTCGTTATTATGTACAAAATTATAGAATTTGAACTGTTTTTTTTTCCTTTTCTTCTTCGAGTATGATAAATAAGTTCAAACAAACCAAAATTTAAAGAAGTATTAGGCATTTGTTCATCGATAACGTATCTCTGAGCACTACTTTGATATTTAGTTGCATTACCCGTTGAATCATCCAAACTTTCCACAGCGCTATCAATGCTTTGAACTGGTGTATTGCTACTACAAATTTTCGATAATAAAAATGATGAAAATTAGATCTGCATTATTTTAGCTAAAAATCAAACAAACAAACAAAATTATTCATATTGAATCAGTAACAATCTGTTTATTTCAAATGTATAAAATGGTTCAATTTTAAGCAGACCCTATTTTTTCCATATTGTCACTGATTGAATCAGACGTTGGTGCACATTGATGGTGCAACCGAGTTCGATCAGTTTGTGTAGGATTTGGTGGTTGCAACAAGCCTATAACTTATTTCTTTTTCCAAGATGAGTGCTCTGATATAATCGTGTAAATTATTGAATAATAATAAAATAACTTAATTACGTACTTCGTGAAGGACCAGTGGTTGTATTACTTGTAGTACGCATAATTTTGACAGTGACAAAATCTGTACTTTGTTGTAACAAATGCATAACATCAGCTGCTTTCATTCCCAAAACAGATTCATTGTTAACTGCTAAAATTCGATCACCGACTTGTATTGCACCTGTTCTGTAACTTATGAAGAAATTATGTAAATTTACTTGAATTTTTTTAGCTATATTTAAAAAAAGATTAATTGCATGGTAGTTTCCAAGTATGAAGTTTGTAAGTTGAGGTGATTGAAATTTTATTAGTTCAAGAAACTCGCAAATACTCTATTTCTCTGATTAAATTAATTGCATTAGCTTATTTGCATTAGGTAATTATGTCGTATAATTAAATGATGACTAAATTTCAAAAATGAAATTAACGAAAGCAACTGTGATGTGAAAAAGCAAAGTTTTTACTCATTTTCAATATGTTGTGTTTTGAAAAACATACTTTTCAGCTAATCCACCTGGTGCAAGATATGATATTAAGACTGGTTCATAATGTTCACCACTAGACGCAATTGTGATTCCAAGTGGTCCACCCTTTCGATTTAATTCAATCGAATAAACCAATTTTTGTGATGTTTCTTGGTTACTCTGTATAAATATTCAATATGAGAACTTCAAAAAATAGCTCCAATTTGTTTAAAATAAAATTGGTAAACATATTATTTTTTATAAAGAATTACACATGCTATAAGTATTTTCAATTGCTATTAAATTGAAAACAACACCTGTTCAAAAGGAGCACTTTTACGAACTCGTAATTTAACGATATCAGATGTACGTTGAAGTAAACGCATTGCTTCTTCAACAGTACACGAATCTAAAGCAATGTTATCCACTGCCAAAATACGATCACCACTATGAAGAGAACCACATCTAGAATAATTTTTGGTACCAACTAAAGTTTGTTGTATAAGTTTTTGTTACCAATTAATTATGTTGCATAGATCTAAATTTTTGATTTTTTCTAGCAAAACTTAAATTCAAAAAAAAAAAATAAAGTCAAACAAACAGAAAACTAACCGATATGCAACACTTCCTATACGCACTTCTGATATAATAACTGGTTCACCTTTGATATTTTCCATATCACTTTTGACTACAATACCAAGATTGTTGCCTCTTTTAGCTAGTTTTACATCGAAAATACCATCTGACGGCAAGGCGCTTTCTGTAATATTCAAAAACAAATCAGACACTGAAGAGATTTTCTAAAAACGAACTACTTATTTTCAATGCTTTCTGAAATAACCAAATATCATATTATCAAATTAGCTCTAAAATTATTAATTGCACAATTTCATAGCTAATATTTTTTCGATAATTTTATTACAAAAATTCAGAAAATAAATTTGAAGACCAATTATGAAATGTGTATAAAAAACATTGATAATTACAATAAATTTGGCATGAATTCTGAGTGTTTAGCTAAATTGTAAGTGAGTACAATTAACGCTTGAAATTAGTAAATTTCTCTTATTGGACTAAATGACTAATTATGGCAAAAATATTTTACATAAAATCAATGCTTCATTTTCACTGTTAATAGACAAAAAAAATCAGAATAAACTCGTCAGCAGCATTTTTGATGCAGAAAAGAAGAAAGAGTTTGTAATTTCAAATATAATCATACCAATCACATCAAATTCAACGACTAAAGTAAGGGGGCTTGTCGACTGTCTCAGAATTTGATTTCCTTCCTCGGCTGTACCATTTAAACTACTCCAACCATTGATGGCTAAAATTCGGTCACCAACTTGCAATATTCCACATCTGCAGGTTGAATTTTAATATATCAACCAAATACATTGCTTTCTTGAAAATTAAGTTAAAATATAGCAAAAAATGAAAGAGTGTGTCAGGGAACTTACAAATTTGATATTTTCTACACATTTTATTTCCAAATTTATTATTACTCATATTTTATGATTCAAAAAACATTCAGAACAAATCCAGAATTCAAAACTTTTGATGGAAAAATTTGTCAGTATATAGTAGACTTAAATTAATAAAAATTATTTGATATTGATGTTCATAAAATGCATGTAGTAATTTTTTAATAATCACATTTTGAGATAATTTGATAATAAAACAAATAGTTTAATAAACTAACCTTTCAGCTGGAGAATTCTTCTCGATATATGATATAAATAACAACTGACGATTTGAATGAAGCATTCCCGATGATTTGACAACTTGATCGTGTACCACTAGGCCAAATGATCCTCTTGCGTAACTGTGTAGGATTACATCCATTGTTTCTTGATGACATATACGACCGCATGGTACACGTGACATCGATCCTTCCACAGATGCTTCAAGTAGTTGGTATGAAAAGTGCTTCGTAAATTTAAAAGATTTAATGTTTTTTTATCAGATTATTTTGAACATATTATATAGATTACTGATTAAACCTTAAGTACTAATTAAATACAGAATTGTTTTTCACTAAAAAATTCGCTGATTTTATATATGAGGATTTTGCTCCCTAATTACATATTTCTTTCCTTCCGAATATTATATATATACATATAGGTAGATACAAGAGTAAAAAGATTAAGCTTTATAAATGGCACAAGCTTTACAGAGTTTGCATTGGTATTCAGAAATTATAAATAGTCATTTTTCATGCATCTCAAATTAAGACTATTTTTTTGCTGTCCAAAAATAAAAAGGCAAAAATCTTGTAATCTGTTATAGATCAAATACTGAATACCTTTAATATAGTCATTCAAAAATAATCTGAAAATTGTGCATCACAATAATATGAGAAGTATTTTAAATTCAAAAAACAAAATTAAGAAAGTATTCATAGACAGATTTTTTTTCATTTTCTGCAACTTGAGATGCCTCAGAGCAATTAATATTGAATAGATTAAAGTAGACCTTTGAATAAATAATTGTAAATACTAAAAAGAAAATACTGCCATACGAATGAAATTTCCATCTCAAAAAAACATATATTGTTTTGTATATCTGAACTGAAAGTATATTTTCAAAATATTTAATATTTTCAAAATATTCTCGTTTAGATGTAATCTTTGTTTCACTTACGGATAGCAATTGTAGTCAGTTAAAGCTTTATATTTGCATCATTTGCATATTTTTTCATTAAATCATCAAATCAGCTTTATAAATTTTCACCACATGGACTTATCAATTCAACCTTTCGCTGTTACTTACTTGGTTTGTTTCAAAAACTTGATTCAGAAGGCACTGGAAAGCTGTTATAAATTTTAATTAAGATTCGCATGACATATACTAATTATGCCAAACCCTTTAATAAAATTAATATCTCAAAAATTAAATTATAAATTTTAATTAGGTTTCAGAAAAATTTTTGAAGTTTTTTCATATTAAAAAATTTGTCTAGGCATTCCCGTTTTCGCATTATTGCAATTATAATAATTTTACTAAAAGCAAAATCCATATAACATTTTAGCAACTGTTTAATTCAGAACATTTTTGCTTTTTAAAAACAAGTTATGCAGATGAAAGGCTATTTCATTTCTTAAGTTAAATTAAATAAGTTAATTTTAATTTATGAGCTGCAAAAAAAAAACAATTATTTAAGTACAGAATATTATAATGAATTAAATGCAATAAATGGTAAAAGGCACTTTATTTATTGTAATTCAGAAAATAGTAAATTAAAATTTTACTTCTATCCTTTTGCAAATGATATTTTTTGTATAATGCACTAAATGTTCCAAGCGCACTTTGAGCTTTTTAATCGAGTATTGAATTGTATTCCAAAATTAACAAATGGATAAGCAGCTTTGTCAAAAATGTTTGAAGTACAAATAAATACTGACAATTTGTATTTGATAGTCAATTAATGTTATGTCATTCAAGCATTGCATACAAGAAATATTTCTGCAACCTTACTCATTCATAATTTGCATTATAAAATAAACTGAGTTAATTACTGTTGACGAGTGTTGTTGCAGTTGTGATTAATAATTGAAGATGACTTTCACGCAATGTCACTTTCAGCAATTAAAATGATATAACACTTGTGTATAATTTAAATAGAAAATTAACTTTGATCAGTTTTACTTTGATTGAAAAGCATATGTGCTACACACTGTTCATCAAATGAAATGATTGATCAGTGATATCGAACACTACTAATATTTTAACAAAATGCCAATTTATCATCGGAAGTTTGCAAGACGAAACTAATAATCGTTGTAATTTAGAAAGATAAATGAATGAAATACGCAGTATAATTGCAAAAATTAAGAACTGATTATTAATAATCAAATAAATTTATAAGTAAATTAATAAGTTCAAATAGTGTCATTTTTTTTAGTAGATGAAAAAGAATTTGAAAAAAAGATCCAAAATACTTTAATAATTTTTTTTAAGCACCTGAAAATCATTACTGCAAAAAAAATATTGAAAATTGTTGTAAAAATTTTTTAGTCAATTCAGGCTTGCTTAATTAACTACGAATGCAAAAAAAAAAAAAAAAAA